ATTTGTATGAAAGAATATCGTCCCAGAAATGAAACCCACTACCTCAATCTAGAGCTAAAATTAAATTATTTAGCGCAAGAGTAGGTTCATAAGTTAATAATTATTAATAATGCACTCGAAATATTTATATGTAAAAGAACCTATTTTAAGTACTTAATACCAGACGGACAAGATTTTGACCGTCGATTTAATATGTCTAATAATATTTTTAATACTTATTTTATAGTTAAGTTTAGTATTAGCTAAACACGATTTATTAAAGTCTTTATGTTAACTGAAATTTTGTATAATTATTTTTCAATCTTTGTACAGCAATCCACCACCAATTCTCTAATTCAACTCTAATTTAATCATTTATTTCAGAAACCACCTAAGTGCGCTTTTTTGCAGTGCAATAACTTTCAGTTATTTCTGCACTAAACGATGTATTCAACTCCGAAGTAAACAGTACCAACAAAACAAAATTTTTGGAATTTTTGTCGCTTAGATGGTTTCTGAAAGAAACAATTCAATTTAGAAATACTTAGTATCTTTAATTTTCCATGCAAAAAGGATGGTAAACCAGCATACCTGAGTCGCTTGATAGTAAGAACGAAGTCACATCAGTGACGTCGCAACGCAATACGATGCGATGACGCAGCGCAAAACAAAATCATCGCAACGCCTTCGTTATGGAAAACTAGGGTAACAAATAGAATAAATATATTAGAATACATCTAGAAATATATATAAACTCCAGGACTAGGTTCAAAAGCTCGTATTCATCATACTAACATTTTCACACCGGGTATGAACCCGGGACCTCTGAGTAGGGGACATCTTAAAACCCGGCGTACATACTACTCGCGCCACAGAGGTCGTCAAAATGCTTTGTAATATGACAAACGGGTGCTGAGGTCCTTAGCTCTGTTAATATTTGGTTCTCTGATTATGGATTCTCTAAACTTAAAACTAAATTCAACATCATCCCTCCCTTCTGGACCACCGGAAGGTTTGAACGTGTAATAAGACCGTAATCTTAATTCTTATTTTATGAATTAATTAACTAAATAATTAAAACAGTGTAAAAAAGGAGTGCATAATTCGCGCAGGAGTAAAGGTGTGCCCGGAGCCGAACCACGCCCTACTTGAACAAAAATTAGCACTTTAAAGTTCAATATTTCACAAACGGATCCTTAAATCGAAATATAGTCTTAGGAACTCCTAAGTAATTTTAAAGGACCTATTTAACGATAACCCTCACGATAGGATGGAAGATGAAAAACATTCATCCCCATGTTTCTTGTAGGGGAGGGATGTACCCTTAAAAACATTTTTTTTTTCTAAATTTATTTCTACTTTTTTATCGGCGTGATTGATTTACATATCGCCAAAAAATTACAGCTTTTTAATGCTCACTCTCCAAGTTAAACCGGGGACGGACAGACGGACATGACGAAACTATAAAAGGGTTCCTTGCGAGGACGGCGGAAACCTAAAAAAGAATAGTGTAAGAGGACTGCAACCATTACTGTACTGGATACTACTGTAACTAATCACTCAATGATTGTCTTAAAATTATCTATCATAAAAACTGTGTTCCCTAATGTAAAAAAGAAGGTTAAAACATTGATAAATTACGAAAAAGCAGTGAAACATCTAAACGCAGAAAAATTTAATGAATTTTTAGTCGTTACTGATCCAAATCTTATAACACAAATCTAATAACATTCTAACAACACAGTATTGCTATAAATACCTTAACAGTGACCGTTCTTAGAAGAGAGCGGATGGTTAAGCCATGGATGACTGTGGGTGTATTACGCTGCATTAGGAACAGAAATGATATGCAAAATAAATTGAAATTAGATCCAGGTAATATAACACTAAAAATAACATGCACGCGATATAGCAATTTGTGTACAAACATAATAAAAAAGTTAAAACGTAGCATTGCTAATCATAATTAGCAACAACAAGAAAACGCCATTAAAAATCCCAAAAAGTTACGGAACACCATAATCACTATAACACAACAAAAGAAAGAAATAGCAAACTCTCCTCAAGAATCACTAAATAGAGTCTATGAGTATTTTGCTACTATTGGACAAAAATTGGCAAAAAATAACCAATATTTGAAAATTGAAATGCATCATCATTTGCACTCATAAATACTGATTTTGAGCGTGCTTATAAATTCAAAGTCTGAAAGTGCTCCTGGATTGGATAAAATACACCTAAAAGACACCTGACTAACCAATGTTTTAAACAGGGAATCTTCCCGGAGGGCTTGAATTATCACTCCAATACATAAAAGTAAAAAAAAAAACAAAACAAAACTCCTTTCTCCGTCCCAATACGATTTTTGTAAGGGTCTTTCTACTGAGGCTGCAGTCTTGTCTTTGACGTCTTCTTTTGTGGAAAATGTTGACGAGGGTAAAAAGTGTTAGCGGTTTTCCTAGACTTAAAAAAAGCTTTTGATACGTGTACATACCAATTTTGATAGACAATCTTCCAGAAGCAGGAATTAGAGGAACACCACTCAAAGTACTAGAAAATTACCTTACTCAACGTTTTTCACGAATTGGTGTGGGGTTGGCATTAGGCTCTGGGTGCACTGTTAATTATGGCGTGCCACAGGGCAGCGTGCTAGGCTCCACTTTATTCCTCGTGTATATAAATAAACTGTGTAATATGAGAATTACCGGACGACGTATTTTTTCGTACGCTGATGATACTGCCATCGTATTTTTAGCTAGCGATTGGGCACAACTAAAAATGCAGACGAAAAAGGGCTTAGACATGATTGCTACTTGGTTGAACCTGTTATCACTAAATATACAAAAAAGTAACTACATCTGTTTAATACGCCGCGCTCGGGATCAATTTCATAGAGATTCATAGAAACTAGTAGTGTCGCCTGCAGTCTGCAGCTGCGGCCTGTGGTCTGCAGTTCAGTTCGGACTTGTACCTTTACCGTGGTCAAGCTTATAGGTAGGTATTTGCGAGGACTCACTCAACCGCCGATATCTCATCTGCCGCAATAGAAGTTTCTCATCAAAAGTTCATACTATATAGTTCTTACGTAAGTATTTTTAGGGTTTCTTACCCAAAGTGTTAAAACGGGACCCTATTACTAAGACCCTAAGACTCCACTATCCGTCTGTCTGTCACCAGACTGGATCCCATGAACCTTTGATAGCTGGACAGTTGAAATTACACAGATGATGTATTTATTTCGGTTGCCGCTTTAACAACAAATACTAAAAACAGTATTAAATAACTATTGAAGGGGGAATCCAATATAACAAACGAATTTTTTTGCCGTTTTTTGCTTTATATTAATAACGGCAAGAGGTATACGCTTGATAAATTCACAAAATATTTAGTTGTTATTAATATCTACTTCAGAAGTAAATAATTAAATTAAAATTTAATTAATATTTAAGGGGGGATCCCATACAAGATACGTAATTTTTCCCCGTTTTTACTCGATATTATAATATGGTGTCACATGTTATATATATAATGGTAAAAAAATGGAACGGAACGCTGTGTGCGCGAGTCCGACACACACTTGTCCGGTTTATTATTTCTTACAGTAGCTAGAGAAGGTCTCAACGACTCCACTTACACACATAAGTCTTAACAATCTTAACGACCGTCTTGGCATTGGATCTATCGATCTAATGATAATGTAAGTAGATTGTAGACGAAGCATCATGAATCTCCCTTAATTGAACAGAGACATTTCATTTAGCCTTGCCTTAGTTGAATTTGAGCTCTGTTTTATATTACTACTAGCTGACCCGACGAACTTCGTACCGCCAAAAAGTGATAATTTGCAATAAAATAATATTGCGACTATAAATTGAGGTGTAAGCTATCCTCTCTTTCAAGCTGGATCAAACTGCACACGGTGTGCAAATTTGATTAAAATCGTTTAAGTAGCTTAGGAGTCCGTCCTGGACAAACAACGTGACGCGTAATTTTAATGATAAAAACATTTGTATAATTCGCGATCATGAATGAACTCGTTAGATTAACAAAATGAGAGGTAGGGCAAAGCGGATTTCCTCCCTTCTGAAGTTGAAGTAACTTCTACGTTACAGAAGAGTACAATAACACTACTTTTTGGTGGTGTATTGTGTTTCTGTCGTTGATTAAGGTTCCAAGGCTCCACGGGGTAGGGGACAGGGTAGTCAGCTGCCAGCTTTGGTGTCACAATCTTCTATTGGCTATGATGGCCTTTGAGAAATATTAATATTGACTTGTCACTTGATAGCTATATTGAAACAACAAGACGCACAAACTTGAGCTTCATCAAATATAAGTAATATATATTTGTTGACCCCCAGACGCGTTGAAAAAAATAAAGGCAGGTACTTATTCATACTATTTATAGCAACACAACAACACACATCAAGTTACTACAAAATTTTCACAATTGATTATGTATTGTAAATTAAGCACAGTAAGCTCAAAATCAGTCGAAGGAAGTAAACAGTTTTGAGTAACTTGACCTTTGACTGTTTGTATCTACAGTTTAAACACATCGTCTCTGCTGTTGTCTTTAAAAATTGATTTAAAAAAAAACCGGCCAGGTGCACGTCGGACTTGCACACGTAGAGTTCCTTACCATTATCTATGAGTGAACATTTGACACTATATTAAAATATCGAGGCAAAATCGCCAAAATAATGACGTCTGTTATATAGTTTTTTCTTTCTATTAAATATTTATTTTTAAAGTGGATCCTTAAAGAAATGTATTTATTCATCCCCTGTTATTGAACCTTCTTCATATCACTGACTTGTAAAATACAAATATAGTTCGTTTCCGAGCTACTCTTCGCAACAAACCGCGAAAATGTTGTCGTCACATCTTACCAAGTACATTTAATTTTTTTTTAAATACAGCTTCAGGGACATCATGAAACAAAAGACATTCTGCGCTAGTTTATTTTTTTAAGAAACACCCCGTTACTAAATTATCGCCCGCGCCCATTTTATTGTAAAGAAATGCAAACATTGGAAAGGTAAGGATTAAATCTAAAGAAAAGTTTTACTAGAAAAAAATGCTTAAAAAAACATCATTCATCATCATTTTATTTAATATTCTTATTACCAATGCAAAAGAAAAAAAAGAGCGCGAGGCATTTGAAAACCTCAGGCGGCTAGAAATAACAAAATGGAATCGTAAGCGTTAGCGTTTTCCAAAGCATTTCCGTTAGGCGAATGGCCCCCAGGTATTGTAAAATACTAGGCAAATTTAAATATTGTATTCTTAAATCGAAAAATAAATAATAGCTTAATAAAAACAAAACTATGAAAAAATTACCGAGCTCAGGATCGAACCACCGATATAGAAGAGCCTATCTGTCTCTTGCAGAGTCACAAAATTACGGATACTTATGACAAATATTGTTAAATTTTCGTTTCATCGAGTTTCAAAACACAACGGTGCTAAAGAAGTTTTCACTCCAAAAAATGCTCTCCTTTTCATGTATGGAACCCTCGTAAAAATAATTTAATTGAATTTTTAACTAAATATTCGGCTTTGGGCAAGTTTTACGATCTAGAGACCCGGACATACGGACAGACAAACATACAGACGACAGAGTGACAGAAATAAGATTACGTTTTTACCGTTTGGGTACGTAACCCTGAATATTATCGCTACATCATTCTAGCAGTTTCCGAAAGTGCCGGGCCCCTTGATAGGCTTTTACTATTTTTCTATTGATTAAGAAAGATGAAGAAATATTATGATCTTACTTATATTGAAAATAAATTTTCAAGAAAAATTATATACCACATGGTATATAATTTTTCTTGAAAATTTATTTACTAGGTGATATTCATGAAACATTTAGAATTAATTGAGATAAAGTTATGTCTTTTCTTGTGATCTTTCAACGTCCAACAACCGTTGGTTCATGCATCCGATGAGACTGCTATCGGCCATGTGAAACATATTTAAAATATTCCATCTTCGGTTATCCGATTTTCTAATTGCTGTACTAATCTGTATTTATTGTAAGAATATTTATTGAATTGCCCTTACTCAAACGAATGCTATCGACTGGTTAAAATAAATACGCGCATTGTCCACTGTCTTGACTGAAGTAGAAAATTAAAATCTTTGTTTAGGATAGCGTTAATTATAAGCTGTTGCATGCGAAACGTATCGTAATTCGGAAAAAAACAGTTAAATCCGTTTTTAAATAATAATTCAGTAACATACAACTACAATTTACAAAAAAATAACCAACCGTCGAACCGTGAAGATAATTTGAACGGTAGGTACTATTGACACATCGATATTGATTAATCCAATTTATTGATGTTAATAATATTTGAATAATAAGGGCTCGTAGAAATAGTTACACAAGCGCTGCAGCGGTTGCGTAGTCACAGCACTTCGCCACAAGGCCATGGCCGTTCATCAAACAGCGGATGTAGGAAGCGCCACATCGCTAGTTGATCACTGGCAGTCGTTTAATACGCGCTCGCTGTCTATGCCTATTAATATTTTAAAAATATGTCGTGTGGTCGTAGTTCGCGCCTTTTTTACTAACGCATTTAAAATTAATGAGTGAATGAAGAAAAAATATACACAGTGTAATACAAAAAATATAATAATGTAAACTAACTACGTACGTAGTGTGTGTAAAAACATTATTTATAAAAACTAAATCTAGTGCTAAAAATGAGTTGACATTTCCCTGGATTACGCGTTGCTAGTAATAAAAATAGACACAGTTCATGCACCAATTTTGTATAATTAAACTGTTTATAAATATAGACATGTGAACGAATGGTTGACCGAACGGCTCACCAAAGCGTAAACACGGACTTGTAACAGAGCCAGTTGGATAAACACTGATTCGCGGTTTTCATAATAAATAATGGCAGTACACAATACATTTTGTGTATAATAAATACTACTTCATTGAGACTGACTAAATTAGCTTAGTCCAAAACTTTATTCTGCAAAAGGAAAAGTGCATGGTTTGTTCTCAAATCTTGCCGGAAACGAAACACTTTTAAAATTGGTAAGTACTAATATTATGTTTAATATTAATGTATATAAATATATTGATTATGGTTATATCAAAATCTTAGAATCTTGATTGATACTTTATAGCTAAGGATATAAAAATCTAATCAAACAAATACAAAAAAAACACACTAAATAAAAAAAAATGGTTGCCTGTAAAGTCGGTTTTACGGGCGAAGATTTTACGTGACAACGTCTTTTTCTCGGTAGAATATTTATTGATATGAATATAATTAAATTGCACAATAGGAACAAGGAATTGAATGAAAATAAGAATTGCACAAATTTTAACTATAGAAATATATTTTGTTTACTAAAACATTGTACATGTAAACTTAAACTTAACACGAGAGACTCATCGTAACGTTACCGAGCGTTACACTTTTTCATAAGTGACTCCCAGCCGCAACCTAATTTAAGACGTTGTCACGTCAAAACATTGTAACAATGTATGTAGTTGTTACATATAGTTTTAATAAAATCGGCAAATACTGATGGATCGATAAGTTGTTTACTGTCTTAAATAACTGAACTATATTATCTAATGTGTAATTAAATAATTTATCTTTAAATAAATTCAAAGAGCTCAAGAAACTCACATAGACAACATAGGCGATGTTCATTCCATAAGTGCCCTGACCTCATTCCTAAGATGATAATATGGAGCGAAATTAATATTTTATTCATCTTCACATTCCGGGGATATCAAAAGAGTTGTCGGGTCTGACGTCGTCGTCTCGTTGTGACTGAAATAGATCGAGCGTTCAGCAAATTTCAAGTGCTTCTTTTGTATCGAAATTTTAATAATTTAGTAAGTTTGAAAGACTGGAACTTTCATTACAATTACGAGGTACTTGCAAAGATATTCTTTGAGTACTTAATATTACAATTGACAGTTGAAAATGCAGCAAGAAAATAGAATAGGAAATGGCATTGACGCATTAGACGAGTAAGAAGATACCAACTTTTGTGTCATAAAATAAAACAAAGATCTACTTATTATATCTTTCAGTGTCCTTTTTAATAATTAAAGTGTTTTGTTTGAGGTTTTTAGTTAAACTAGTAAGTTTTCTTTTTCTAAATCGCAAATTGATGATATTTTCTTTTTTCTTCATTGCAGTTTTCTATGAAGTTTAAGCTAAATTGAAATACCAATTCAGGGCAGAATTAAACAGCAATTTTCGTCGTAGTGCGTTATAAACAGTTCCATGTAATTTATAAATGTAGTAATTGTAAACGAACCACTGATGAAAAGACATTTAAGTTTAGTGATTTTTTTTAACAATGTTTTATTTTTTTGGAGTTTGTTTCCTTATTTTATAAAACATAAGAAACATTTTACCACACAAGCTAGTTATTAACACATAATCACATTATAGGTAAGAACATCAGTTTTGAGAACATCAGCACTTAATGTAGGTATGTAATTTTCAGGTTAGCTCTCAGAATGAGTAATTTGCTGCAATTATACCTACGTTTATTTTTGCCTCTCTAATTTTAGGTTCTGGTTGCTGCAGATTATTTTAAGTCAATAATAGTAACCAGATACTTTAAAACACTGAAGTATAATGTACCTACATTTACCTCAGTGGCTTAATAGTAGATCTCCCTTAGAGAGAAGAACTATTTTAACCATGAAAGTATTCATTTTAATCCAAAGCGGAGCGTTTTATTATAAAACCAAATAAATCCGAATTTGAGTAAGTAATTACACAGGCCCACAAAAAAAATATACCCTGCGCGAAAGACCAGACTACCTGAACTTTATGTTTACGCGCGCTGGCCTACGTTGCCACTGAATTACTGTGACCACTATTCCTACACGAACAAAGACATTTGGTGACTCATTTCTTTGTCGAACTATTCGTAAGTGGAATTCTTTACCCGCGCAAGTGTTCCCTCCTTCCTATAATCTGGGGTCCTTTAAGAGAGGCGTGAAGAAGCATTCTTGTAGGCCGGCAAGAATGATGAATGGCTTGAGGATGATTGGTGTAGCAGTCTATAACTGCTGTACCAGCTATCTTCGCGTTTGGACTTTATTACCACTTAACATCAGGTGGGGTAGAGTCATTTGCCTATCTCTATATATATAAAGGCGGAATGTATTTCGCGCGTTGGTATTTTTTCACAACCTTTTTTTTATTTGTCGAGCGGGTGGTTTATGCTATGACTTTTTCATACAATGTTTATGATTGATCTCTTTGGTGTTTGGAACTTTTACGAACATAAAAATATCCACATTCCTAATTCAAATCACTTCTAGTCCCTGTGGATTAAAATGTTATTTTGGTCCCTGTAAACAAAGAACAAACTTTTCGAGTAGATGTAATAAAAAGGTACATTTTTCACATATGTATCTCCTGATTTGTTATAATTACCGCACACAATCCCGTATTAAAAAAATCGAATTGGCAATGGCAACACTGACTATGAAAATTTTATTTTAAACTTCAAACAACTCCAAACCCACAATCAAATGTTGATAGAGCGGCCGTCCTCAATATGCAGTTGTGTGGTGATTTTATTTTAATGATCTCTAGAATACAATATTGATTTTTTAAGTCTAAAACATGATAGAACTGTATAACGTACTCGTCAATAACCAATCATGGGCTCCATAACATCAATAATTCAATTAATGGTCTTTGTATACGTTTCTACAATAAAGTTCCTAGCAATATTCAATGGTTGGCTCTCAATAAAAAATAGACTCGGTATTCAAAAAGTACCAATTATTAGACTGTCGAGTTCCTTTAATTATCTTTTAGTAGTTACTTAATGATGTGAAATTCCACTTATGTACGTACGTTATTACCTACGTATAAACAGAACAGATAAATTCTTGATGTGATGTTGTACCTAAGTATTTAGTATGTAAGTATAATGTTTGAAAGTCTTTTATACAGGCAATTTCTATATGTAAACTACTCATGATCGAATTATTAAACATTCAAAGCAAAACATAATCTAAATACAAATTTTTACTAAACTAGTAGAGCCATTTGCGAGACACGTAAAATAGATAAAAATAAATGTATACATGAACTCTCTTTAAATAGAGATCTTATATTTGGACCTCTGAAATTTATTTCCTTTTTGCAAGTGTAGCATATTCAACAACAACAATTTTATTATAAATCTAATTAAGTTTTTATGTATTATATTTTTTTATGCTTAGATTTTTTCACATAAGTAGTACTTATTGTGGTCTTTTCTATCTTTTATGTTCCATCCTGATGAGATCTTACGTACGTAGTGTAGTAAAATGTGATGTTGGATCTTATCCTGATATGAAGCATCAAATCCGTTGAGTGAACATTATTAGGACGATATTTTATGGCTTAGTTATCAACTTTGATGTGGATAAACTAATAAACAAAATTATGTTTAGATTTCGCACCGGAGGATATTAATCCAAAATAGTGTGTAGATAGTTCGATTATAGCGTAATCGCAAATAAACATAAACAAACTTACCATAATAATTTATAACTCCGATATAGATAGATGAACCATAGATGGAATAGACGTGAATACAATCGGCATAATTTTCAATCCCATACTTGAATACAATATTGAAACCTTATTGTTGCCTTACCGCCTTAATTGATAATTGATTTCCACATAGTAAAAACCATATTTACCATTTTATAGTTATTTTCCATTTCCAATTAATCTGCTTTAATGTAAACTCTAAGTTTCAGCAAGTTTTGCGACAAACAATGTTTTTGCTTATCAGACCCTCATCTCGGGGACCATCTTGAAATTAAACAGATTAAAACATAAAAAGAATCATCAAAATAGGCCCGTAAATCATAGTTACGCGCGAACTATAAAGAATTAGTATAAAAGTCTTTTTGTGTTCGCTATCACTTGTAGGACTTGTTTAAGTTGTGGAATAGAACGGGCGGAAATATATAGGTATAAGTATCAATAATATTAAAGTTAAATACTAAACATGTTTACAAAACCCTATCCGCCATTAATAAACGAGGAATAAGCTTAGACTAGTTACGCCATGTTTTGTCCATGTCACACAAATGCCATTTGTTATTCAATAGACAGAGACAAAACATAGAGTAACTAATCCAAGCGTAGTCTTCGATTATTAATAAGGGGGTATATTATACACTCCCGGACACATAAATCGAGCCACCTTGATTTTTTTGGTTTGGAGTACTGTAACTTATAAACGATGTATGTAGAAGGAAAATGTTTTGATGCAGTTTTGGAGCTGGTCCCATTCTTCCAAAATTACATTTTTGAGCTCCTGCATGGTTTGCGGGCCAGGATGATGAGCTCGAACACGCCTCTTCAGCTCATCCCATACTCTATAGAATTCATATCAGGACTTCGCGCTGGCCATCTCATAACAGTGATACCAATGTCATTTAAGTACTCCCTGACGATTCCCGCCGTATGGGCCCTTGCATTATCATGCATTAAAACGAAATCTTGGCCAATAAATCCAGCATATGGCATCACGTGGTTATGGCATCATCGGTACACCTTACTCCTTCCGTCATTACCGTATAGCATTATCTTGGACTCATCTGTGAAGAGAACCTGGCTCCATTGATGTCGAGTCCAATTTAGATGTTCGCGCGCAAATTCTAGACGGGCTATTCGGTGTGCTCGTGTCAATTTGGGTCCATTGGCTGGCTTATGCGGCTTTAAACCACGTTCATTGAGTCGCCTTCTAACGGTCCGAGCACTTACAGCCACTCCGTGAAAGTCTCTGAGCTGTTCTTGTATCTGAACAGAGTTAAGGCGTCGATTTCGTAAGCTAGTAGTGACAATGTATTGATCTTGTCTCGCCGTTGTCACTCGGTAACGAGGTCCTCCTGTTCGCCGAACGAAGCCGCCAGTCTCCAGGTATCGGTGGTACTCTTTGAACAGCGGAACGACTTATGTGAAGTTGTGAACTCACATCTCGCTGACTTAGCCCAGATTGAAGAAGCGCTACAGCTTGCGCGGCTACTTCAGGTGAAGTATCCATAATTTTATAGCCAAAAACGGTTCAAATTATAGAAAAATAACTAAACTAAACATTAAATTGCTTCAAAAGCAACTTTCAAGTCATTATTTTTTTCAAATCAATGACCAAGCTCGGCTTTTGTTCTTTATTTTAAATTCTAAAATTCAAATTTGGAATAATACATACGGGAAAGACGATGAAATATGCCAGCATTAAAAATGCATAAAAGAAATTTTTTGTTATCTTTATATATATAATTCTTCTGTGAGTGTGTATGTCACTGAACTTCTCTTAAACGACTGGACCGATTTTGATGAAATTTTTTGTGTGTGTTCAAGGGGATCTGAGAATGGTTTAGATTCACAATTTTGTCCGCTGGACAACCCCTATTTTTTTAGGGCGGTACGAAGTTCGCTGGGTCAGCTAGTATTGTATATTTTTTGTGTATTGGGCTTTTAGGCCCGGGAATGTAAGGTGGCTCGATTCAAGAGTCCGGGAGTGTATATTATTGTAATATTCGTTGTGCGAATTAGTTAATATTATTATGTACCTAATAAAAGGAAGGAGCAAGTTTTTATTTTAAAAGAGTGTGCATGGGAAACATATAAAACATGAATAATTAAGCCTATACCTTAGGCTTACAATGACTCCATCTCCTACCAAAATTCTGAAAATCTTACTCACTGCAGAGACACAACACTTAATTGTGATTAAAATTATACAAAAGCTCTTTCCTAAAGAAAAATATTAAATTAATCGCGGAAGGATTAGAGTTATACGATAAGGCATTCGTCATTTATTCGGATTTTTGACAATTGTCAAATATCTGTTAGAGTCTGTGCGGAAAGAGAATGGGATTTAGATTGGAGGGCGCTGTAGTGCTTTTCTACCGTATTTATAAGGTTTTACCCCTTTTAGACATGATTAAATACAAAAAACCGCAAGAAATCACAACAACAAACAAATCCGTATCAATACAATACTTTGACGTTTTACAGATTGCTGGGTTTGATTGCCAAATAAAAATCTTAATGTTAGTTCCGTTTTTCGCCACGCCCATTTTATTTCCGCACAGACTACTAGATGCTTCACGGTCATTACGACATTTTGCCTTTTAAAGGCGTAATGGATATCAAACTTATTTCTTTAATTGGCAACTACCGAATTCGAAATTGCAGTTTTATTTTACAGAATCGCACTAGTGATTGCAGTATTCTCTATATTTAATTTCCCTAGACGAACTCAAACATAAACAAAAACCACACTCCACTTTTAAAAAAATATATATAATCAGTTCATCTTGTCATCATTAAAATAACGGTATAAAGACTCACGAAAAAGATGTTTATTATATTTTTATTTTAAGCATTTAATCACTAGATGTTTAAGTCTAAAGAAATGTAATCTTTCCTTTATTTAATATTTGTATAGGTATATTATATCAAAGCCGTTTATGCTTAGTAGCCCATTAGGTGATAAGTGCCTCGCCCACCTGCTGAAACATGACGTATAAACATCACATATGCAGTAATTGCCATTGCTCCTCAGGCTTTAGGTGTCTTCCTCCTATTTTAATCGTATACATATTACCGAAATTTATGCACCAAATGATTTGGATCTTTTCTAATTTCAGACAATAACAAAGACTAGTTTACCTACCGTTTATATTATTTTTCATTGCAGCATTATGAAATGGTTGAATTACCTATACAGTTCATCACAGTTACAGTTCTTCACGACTAAAAAAAATACGTGTGGCACTCGGGGACTGCCGCGGTAAAGCTATTGCATAGCATTTTTTAGCAACTTATGCAATTTTAATTATTTATTTATTTTATTTATGCAGTTTTTTTTTCTTTGATATTGATTCGTTTTTTCTTTGATATTAATCGATGGCGAGGCAGGCCTTATGATATTTTATTGGGCAAGCACAGCAAACAACAGCATTGCCCGGCGCCAAAAAACTTCCACAAGCTCCACAGTTGGTAAACTGTCCATAAATATAATTATAATTATAAAGTCTAAATAAAAGGGAGACAAATAAAAATAAGAACAGGTGCTGGGGTCTAAAACAAATATATAAAAAAAGGAAAAGTAAAATAAAAAATACGAGTATGGGATTTGAACCAACGACCGCGGTAATGCGTCCAAGTTGGTCAAGTGGCAAAAATTCGACACACTGCGCCGTTTAGATCGATACTGGAATGACGAAAATAGTATTGGTATATGCACTCTCGTAAGGTCTTTTTCGTTACAGAATTTCTTGATTCGGTCGCCAGGCTCAAAGCCCGCGATAAAAGCTATACAATAGCTTAAAACATTTAGTCTTGGCTTTTGAAAATGCCATTATACTAACTCATAGATATTGTGTTGTTGCACAAACAGCCCATTACTTTGGATAAGGATTCTAACGATGTAAAAATGTAATGAAACTTGTTATGATAATTGTTTACACTGGTATATTATTTTCTTATTTCTATTTTTATTGCTTATCAAAATGTTACTTCACATTACATTTTAGAATCGAGATGCCTCTACCTCTGGTGAGAAAATGCTGTGGCTGTTTCTCCTTGGAGATTGGGGTATACAGCCTTTGTCTACTATCAACTGTAAGTTCAATAATCATAAGTATTGCAGTTGAGTGTATTCATATTTTTATCTTGGGTTCAGGCTGACTGGAGTGGCACACTTTCACTGCCGCATCTGGCAAGTCATCTTTACAAACGGATAGTTTTATATAGATAGCCTATTTCATTTCATAACGGTATATCAAAATACCCTACAATGCTTACTTAGGGATGATAAAAAATAATTGATGTGAGTGTTATTTATTTATTTCATTTTCATAATTTACTGCAGTGAAAAGTTTGAGTCCGTTAGGTTTAGTTCAAGGGACCAAAACGTCAAGAATAATGTAAAATAATTAATACGCGGTTGAAAGCCGATGAAAAGTGTTTTTATTTTTATAAAAAAGTTAGCTTAAAATTTGAAAATTGTTTAAACCACTTACAGATGGCATGCTTGGCGAACATTGCAGCCGGAGCTTGGAGTCTGCCCAATCACAAACAAAGGGAGCCAGAAGACAACTTCCTCTCCATGAGCATGGTGATGTTCTCGAGTCTCAGTACTGTCAGCAACCTGGTCGCAAGTGCAGGGGCTTACTTGGTGAGGATAAAACTGTTATTGTTTTTCCCGTTATTACTTATAGCTTTAAGCAAGAGGAGTTTTTTTTTATTTCAAGTTAAAGCACTATCCAGCCAGAGAGCAGAGATGGAGGAGTCTATGGTGTAGCGAGCTTACCCAGAAGCAGCTTATTCACTCTGTATTTAAAAAGAGTCGGATTATATGTACTCGAAAACACAAACGCAGGCAGGCAATTCCACTCCTTCACTGTTCACATTATAAAAGTATTTGAGAAGTGTTTGGTGTGAAGAGGAGGATCAGCAATCAAGATAGGATTGTAAACTGCGTTTGGACGACCGATAGTAGAAGGGGGAAAGTGGAATGACCTCGTGTAACTTCTAAGCACACTCCCCGAAGTACAGCCGGAAAAAAAGAGAAAGGCAGGCAACCTTGCGGCAGTGACGCAAAGTGAAACGCTTAGCTTCAACCAACATATTGTCGCCTATAATTTTCCTGGATCTGCGTTCCACCGAGTCCAGTGCAGAAAGATAGTATTTGACTGAGCCATCCCAAAGGTGACAGCAATTTATGATCGGACGTGAATCTGAATCAAATGGTGATTTCATTCATCTGATATATGAGAGGACTGTTACTAGCGTAGCAATTGAAACTTATCTCGCATAAAAACATACATACATCATCAGCCTATTAATGTCCCCCCCACTTCAGGGGAACAGGCCTTCCCTATGGATGGAATATAGATTGGGCCATGACCTACCACGCGGGCCCAGTGCTGATTGGTGGGTGCTAACGACTGCAGATGCAGCCGGAACTAACATCGTAACGTGCCTTCCGAAGCACGGAGGAGCTCGAGATAGTAAATTTTTGGTCAACCATGACCGACCACCTCGAAAGTTGCTTAACTTCAACGATCGCAGCCGAAGGCGCTAACCACTTGCGCCATCGAACTCCTCATACAGCCGAACATACAGTACCTATCAGTAATATCGAACGCCTCAGTCGACTGCATGCAGACAAAAGTGTAGCTACTCACTTTTACCAGACTGCATTAAAAAAAACAACCATGTTGGTCATCATTAGTAAAGACAAACAACCTCAAAATTTGTAAAAAAATTAGGTCAATTGATACTGATTAAATTATATAGAAGTAGTAAGTAGGTCAAATTTTATTTTAATTTGATACTTAATATTTGGCATAATAATGACTGATAATTATTTTGAATCCTTATATTTATACAGTATCTAAAAAAAACATGGACCAAGATTTCACTACGCTTACGTGGTCTTAAGTAGCTTAAGTAGAAGTTAGTTAGCCCACACCAATAAACCTGGACTAACTAGATAATTTGTTGTCTTAATAAATCGATACGAAATCATTATTAACTTAAAATTGTATGTTACATAATTTAATTTTACTAGTTTTACATATATGGGTGACACTATTCGATATATTTTCAAAGTAGCAAAACAAATGAAACACCGCTAGTAGAATACTTTGTAAGATAATTTTACAACACATAATAATAATTGTATTATATATGTGGCAGGCAGGTAATAAAAACCATGAAGTAGACACTCCACAATCTATTCAATATCGTTGCATATGAAATGTGACACCAATCATACGTTATTTTATTCATAGTATTGATTGGGTAAGCAAAAAATAGACAATGTGACTTTGACCTAAACTTATATTAGGACTACATGGATCAACATTACTAGTTTACTTTAGAATCTTTGCATGAGTAAGTAATTACCAACAAAACATTATTATATAAAATGTTATAATTTTTATCTTTTAAGCATGTAACTGCTTGATGTTTAAATCTAAAGAAAATATAACTAGAAAAAATTCCACCAGACCAGGCAGCAGACGGGACTCGAACCCGCACCCTTCGCTATCCGGGCGAATGCTCTGACCAAATATGCTACCGCGGCCCTCACGTCGAAATTCCTCTAGCCATTTTTAAGCTGCAAGGCAGCGCCATCTCTTCGCATTGTAGGTAAACCACAATGTCAAATGAATACTTTTACAAGTATTAAACATTTGAAAGAAGAAATAGCAATTATAGTTATAATTTTTATCTTTTAAGCATGTAACTGCTTGATGTTTAAGTCTAAAGAAAATATAACTAGAAAAAAATCCACGCGGACCAGGCAGCAAACGGGACTCGAACCGGGCGAATGCACTGACCAATGCACTTACAAATGCAATATAAAATGTTGCCAAGACGAGACATATGACTCGGACTATCCAAAAATTATCAGATCTGATTTAGAGCCCACACGCTCTAACTCTACAAGGCCTAACTTCACAAACTCTTAAAGTTAGTCAAAAAATATGTGACTTGAACATTTGATTTGCCCTTTCGCTTCGTCTGGCTCGTCTTGTCTGGTATCGTCGTATCTGGGGGCACTGCTGTATAACTAACAACACAACGAGATTAAAAACAGTATGCTCTGAAAAATCAAATCGTCAACAGGTATTGTACATAATTATGTAATACGTACCTTAATTAAACTACTTTGATATGTCTACAGCAAAATATTCCATTACAAAAATGAACTCCGATCTACCTCGAATATAATAGATACTAATGATCTCGTAAACACTCAACAAATGACGTCCAATGTCCGTAAAACAAAAGGGAATGTAGAGTCATTAGAAGCGTTAAGCACCTGAATGTGTGGTGAATTATTACGACTATCATTATTATAATCTACTGCGAGACTACTTCGACACCGAAACAATGGACAGAAATTATTATGCATCAGTCATAATGATCATGTTGTCATTCTTATTTGTTTTCGGTCATAATGTGTTTTATTACTGAATTACCTTGTTGGGCTTGATATAGAATCTAACGGTCTGACTACAAAAAGTTACACGCGGTTTCAAACCTTGTTTAGTAAAATGTTGTATGATATTTTCTTCTTTAAGTCGCGTTGAACGTATTTCTAACATTATCCTCTGTAATAAGGTAACGATCTTACTTAAGTGTAAAGTGAATCAATTCATAATCAATGATGATGAAGAAAATGTCCTAACTCTACTAACCTCCTGAATAGAAGCCTGAAACAACGGAATAGATAAAGAGTTTCTTGTAAATCAGTCAAATTGTGTTTTCGTAGAACCGTGTCGCTAATTTACAAGGGGACTTTAGTACACACCCCTTTAAAAAAACATTTAAAACAAATCCGGAATAATTATGTATGTATTAGTGAATGAATGAATTAATATTTATTGTAGATATTAACGGGATTGTTACCATGTACCTTGTTTTTTATGAGTCTCCGATATTTCGATTTATAATGTTAGTGACCATGAAAGTTTAAAACAATATAATATTTATTGGCCACTATAGACAATTAAACAGACCCAACAAGAAGGAAATAACATTTTTTCATCATATTTCCTCAAAAATGCATTAACGGAGGTTGTATACATTGTTCGAAAGTTCAAAATTACGAGCCATATAACGGAATGTGCGGTAAAACGTTTTACCGCACGCTTCTATGCATGGCGCGAGCGTATCCTTTACTGTTTTTTTTTAATTTCGATCGAACCACCATGGAAACGCTTTTAATCTATATCTTGTTTCACTTTAATATTAAATAGAAAATGAGCCGACTGATGCAGTTCTAATTTGCACCACCCGCACGTGTCACAATTCGAAATGCGCGTTATTTTCTTATTAGAAAAAGTTTGCTGCATTCCTTTAATTGTATAGGAACTGTTTACTCGTAAAAATGTTGTATGGCATTCGTATGGAATTGGTATTTACAAACTCGTGACCTATGGTAAGCCCTCGACTTCGAACCGAGCTTACATTCGTCTACTCGTTTGTAATAACCAACTTACCGCACCAGTATCGTAAATAACTATTAGGAAATTAACAGCAGATAATAAAATAAGTTCCTAAAACAATGACGATGAAAGGCCAGTCAAGAGAGGCCTCAGCTTGTACTATTACAGCAACAATATTAAAAACCCGTTTTTTATATATTTTAATAACGTTGTATAACAGTGTAAAAACAAAATAGATTCACATCGTTACATCGCTGCGCTGGTATTCCGACAAGGTCTATGTAAAGAAGGAGTGAGCAAGATAAATATAGCTCTCTGATTAGTATTAAGTTCGTATACCACTTTATTTTATGTGACACCTGAGCCACGCCCACAAGACCTTCCTAACTTTATTTAGCTATGCCGTGGCCGAAAGCGTATTAAAAACAGTGATCGAAGCGGATAATGTTGAAGCTCTAACATTTGGAGTTGCCTATAGTTATGCTATCTTGACCTGACCCTAAGTAGAGGAAAGCAAATGAATGAAAATAAGTTAATGAAGAAATAAGGAAAATTTGCAAGTGTTTTTCTAAAATCCAGCATTTATTTTTTAGACCTTTCTTATGTCTGATCGCAATCGGACGAATTTATATCCGAATTCAATATCGTTAAGAGTTATAAAAGCATTAACATCGGGATTTTAAAGCGCGTAGAAAAAAACTCTTTTGCAAAGTAACCGCTAACACTTATATTTTATTTGATCGTAAATCATGTCAACCTACATATTGGAAGTGTTCCAGATATTAATGAAATTTATTTTGAATATTGAGTTTGTCGGCATGTTTCCGTCATCGATTTATAGACGGATACACATTTTTTATGTATGTTCATTACATATTTCTAATATTTAAAACTAGCGTTTGCCCGCAACGTCATCCTCGTGGACTTTGTGATTCTGGTAGCAAAGGACCCCGCAGAATCCTTATGGAAGCTGGCTCTCGGCCAATTTTTCTGTAACTTCGGATAGCTCATGACACGTGGAATAAAAGACCCCATCGGCCCAATGGCCGAAAGTTCATAGATGAGGAGCTACATCGTGCCAAAGTCGAAAATGTACGGCTGTTTAATGTGTCTGTTGAACGTGAATTCAGAAATGGTTTTGGTGATGTACACATATGTTTTGCTGGATTGTTTGGATTCAGCAATTCAGAAAACATTTAGTTGTATGGATTTT